CAACTGAGCCATTCATTTCAAACATCAGTATGAGCAGTTGAGCTAATCTCCTGCAAACTGAAAACACAACTGTTGACTTCACTCCAACATTGACAACTGTTCATGTCATTATCATAGGCATGAGTTGGAAGTCTTAATTCACTCACGCAAGCGTCAGTCACTGTTTATAATCTTGTAAAGATTCATTCAGCCGAAAACATTGTACAACTTCATGACACCTATATTTGCGGCACATAAGCTTAGTTGATTTAAGCAACCTGTGATCACTGCATTTCAATCAAGTCGATATCTACAATGTGCCTATCGCCGTACTTGCAACTAACTTGTATGCAGCACCAGTCAGTTAGTGTGAATATAAATATTCAGCTTATCACACATTGAAGCGTTGAATCGAGAGCATGTTTCTAATGGATCCAATCTTATTTCACAAATTACTGTTGTCTAACTGTCCACAATTCACAGAAGTATCGACGTGTTTACGTATTAACAGCATTTTTATAAACAAGTTATTTTCGTTAGTAGTTTGATTACAATCTGTCACGGATACGTAATAGTGAGGTCACGAAAACCATCTCAAATCTATGTAAACCGTACTGAACTAAACAAAGTAACTAGAACGCTAGTTGCAGCTTTTTCATCCTAGCAGTTATAGGTTTGTTCTTTTAGTTACTCTACTAATGAGGATGCACTTAGAAATCAACTCCATACCGACATAAACATTAACTGACCTTCTAATTAAAACTGAAAGTATTACCAATGTCAACATTTTTGCGATATCGATGTTTTTAAAAGTACTTATAATGCCCGTACTTTAAGATTATGCACAAAACAGCCATCACCACACATCTCAATATGATTTTTTCAAAATGTCTCTATTCCAAATCACTCTTAGTTATTGTAATCCATCATTGTTTAACCTAAATAAACGTCGCGAAAATTTATAGTTTGTGCATGTAAAGAATTAAACCAAACATTTGGAATTTATAACAGATATTTCTCGACCAGTATCTGCCGCCTCCCTTTGACTTCTCTTTCAGCCTATCTTTTTCCGCACGGTTCTTATCATTCGTTTGGTAACGTCAGAGGTGCGACACTCACACTCAATTTGGTATCGATCCAACGTCACGTTGATTCTGATGGGAGATTAGTGTATTGTTATTGTTTTCAACTACACAATCCTCGAATCTGATAATGATATGACTGAGACAATTCATATTCTACATTTAACGTGGAGAGGAGATCACCAATGTTGAACCCAGAAACAATCAATCGTTACGGCATGACTCTGTCGTACAGGCGTGATCATTGTGTAACTTATTACCACACACAATAAATATGTTATTCCATCCCCAGCACAAATGTGTTCTTCAGAATTTCAAGTCATCATATTGCCGATTGTGACAAGAGAACGAGTCAGAACAGACAATGATTTGACTTCAACATAAGATCGTATAGATTACGTAGTCACATTATGACAAACCTACTATTTGTGATTAGATCTATTCTTATTATTCTTTTATACTGAACTCGATTATAATTCTTCAAAGTCACAATTCTTTACTCTTGAGTTTTGTGTGATTGATCTGTGTATCCGATGTTGTCAGTCGTAATGGAGTTATGCATTAACAAATTGAAGTTGAATTAACTAGGTTTAATGGTTTATTTGCCAGAATAACGGAATATTTGAAACGTTGACTGGATAAACTTAGAATGACTTGAACTTATAAAGATTGGATGGGATGGTGCTCAAAAATAGTCAACTTGAACCACTTGTGTCATGGACAAGAATTAATTCACTGAGGCTTTGAACTATGAGAGTTATGATCTGTTTGACAATGAACCTACCGACAATCAGCATCAAGTTTAAGCCAATATCTTAGCAAATGCAGTTTTTGTTATAACTCACCGTCGTAATGATTGTATTCAAATAACTAAACTTAAACAAGACATTCGTTTTGAATCTTTATCCAGACTGTACATATTAGCCGACAATGAACAGTTGTTTGTTAACTGGTTTACTGATTTTCCGCTATTCAGTCGACAAGGAAAGACTTCACTTAAGATTAGGAGAATCAAATTGACAGTAACTCAGACAAATGTGGAAGATTATAAGTATTGTTCACGACAGAGTGTGACTGTAGATTGAACGATATGAACGATAATATTGCTTGGAAGGTTACATCCTACAGTGACAGAGCTTGTGTCTGCGTCACGTGCAAGTTCATGTGCTATTAACCGATGGTAAGTGATGACTCCAAAAGGTATCTAACATAGAACATTCATGTCTCACCTCAAACGCCTGATCGTTCGATTATTGGGGCCATATTTATTCGTTTATTGAAGAATAAAATTCATCATTACTGGTGTATACATTTGATGGTGTGTTATCTGATTCATTGTGTTGTAGAAAATAGATGTTGTAAATGCAAAATTGCACAATCTTCATGTACATCTAAACTAAAACATTTCGAGGTTTTTCACAAGAGAGTTAGGTCAAAACAGTTTCTCGGTTGAGAGAATGAATTGTACACTGAATACATATTCTATCTCCAATGTTTATTCATTTACCTTACTTTTCAGAAATGTTTGAACACTGAACTTGTTTTCTGAGTAAACTTAGGATTCGAAGTACATGATTTATGAGGTTCAATCAACCGTTACTACTGTTTTGTCGTTCACGATGAAACTTTATTTTTAATGTCCTTATTTTCTTTCATCACGAACCTATCAATCTTAGACCATTGTTGAAATTTTGTAAATACTGAACACTTCTTCATTTCGATGTGCGACATTAACTCAAGGCCTTCGATTCGCGTGTGAACGTCCAAGAGTTAGCTACTAGCTGACATCCAACAGCGCTTATGTTCATTCTCAATTAATCCACAACATTTAGCGATCATAGCTTTTAACCGTTTTTGTTACTCACTTAGGCATTCTCGCTTGTAGTATTAGGATTTATCCCGGCTTCGCGCAGCCATATACCGACTATGTTGTTTACAGGTTCACAGCAGATTGCAGTAATAATACGGTTTATGGCTTCGCTCGATTTAGGTGTGGGATTTATCAAACATTCTCATCTTATTCACTCAAGCCTGAAGACGTGCTTTTACGCTATAATGATGGATAAAATGAATTCTCTTCTCTCAGTGTTACAGCACACAAAATGAATTAGTTCTTGCTCTCTGAAAACCTGCATTATTGACAAAACGGCAAGAACACCCCAAGATAAAACAACTAATACTTTTGTTCATGACCCTTTATGTATATCCTAATATATAGTAAACGTTTGAGTCAATGAATTCAAAATGTCCGATGAACTAGAAGGAAAAAGATACAAGGAATTCAGGCTGATTGTGTCAACTTGTCAAGCTAATCCGAAATCTGATTAGCGGCAACCAATTTTATTTTCCCCATTCACGAATGACAGATACCAATGACTACGATGCAAGAAGGAAATCTTTCTCGGTATGGGTACGAGAATACTTGAATAACAATGTATTTCATGAGTAAGCTTATAATATCAGTCAGCAATATACAAAAACTACATCATATTTGCTCTGTACGTTGATCGATAAATTCAAACTTATGTCTATGGTTGTGTTAGGACACTGAAGATTCAGGAAAGAATATAATTTTGTGTAATGGCATATGACTAATTAAATAACACTGGGCTGCAAATATGTCACAATTATGTTAGAGAACTGCGAATGTGGAACTTAATTGGAAAAGATAGTGATTCTATTTATACAGCAACTTTAGCTTATGAATGAAAACCAACTTTCCACCACAAGCAGGGCAAACAGGAATTCATGGGTGACTAGAACAACAAGTTACGGCTGATAGGGGTGACTTAGAGTGAACCACAATTTGCGAGGATCAGCGTAATAACAAGACATCATTTGCCGATAAACACTATATTGTCATTTTTATAAATCTGTTACATAATGTGCCCCTCACAATGAATTATGTAACGACAGGACTTAACACACTAGGTGATGATGTGATTTCCACGAATCGGAAAAAGAATTCCTTGACAACATTTAACACATTTGACTTAAGATTAGGATGTAAAGATTTACTAACCTGTCAAATAACGCAGTACAAAAATATCCAATAAATACAAAAATAGAATGATATTCGTACAAAATCAGAAGTAATAGATTTCTCCTAACGACTAATGGATTCAGTAGTCAAATGTTCATGAGAAAGTGTATATTTTTACGTCTTCTACCTAACCACGGCATAATACGATATGCAATTAACAGCAGTTGAACGTGTCGAACCTCACAGTCGCAAATCAAAAGACAGAAGAAGTAGGGTAAGTTAATAACTGGTGAGAGTAAAATATCCATAGAAAAACATGGACATTTATAGATATTATCATTGGCTATAGCATCGATATAATTCAGTTATTCAGCAAGAAGACAATTTATGTAATCATCTAGTCGTAGCACGCCACGTTAATATTCTAGAAGGCTCTATCAGGTTCTGGTTAGATGGAATCTCTTCGGCATCTTAAGAACCTCTTGGGGCTTTGCCGTACTTTTTGAGCCGTTCAAACAAATATATCAATTAACCTTTATTCATACGTCATCGAAAAATAATTTTGGATATATTGGTATTATGTTCGACCGGTTAAACCGATTCACATTGACACATCGAAGAACTGGAGGTGACTTGATTACAGTATTCAAATTTATTAATGATAAATTTGCACTTGACATGCCATCATTTTTCTTCTTTTATAAATAAAGGACTCTACAAAGAAGGTAACAAACCCAGAACAGGTTACTTGTCAGCTGACTATCAACTTTTCCATCGAATCAACACCCAGTGGGATTCATTGCCTCAGTACATGACTGAAGCTGAGTCTGTTGGCTCTTTCAAAAAATGTTGGATGAACCGAGAGACTAACATTTCCAGGACTAACGTAAGCCACCTAGCCTTGTGTCTTTTCCAAATTGCAACTGCTTTTGTTTTACCCTACAAAGGTTTTTACATTCTACCGTAGTTGTGGTTTTCAAGGTCATCGAATCTATGGGTGATTTCAAAGTACTATGTCCAGAGGTTCCTTTTTAAATTTCCGTTTCACTGAAAACTGTCATGAAATCGTCATTAGCATAGTAACCGAATTTGACACGCAAAAAACAACGATAAGGCTTGTTTTAGTTCATGCTATACGCCGGGGTAATTATAGTCTGGATGACAAGAATAATATAAATAATTATGTTTGTGTTTGACAGTATAATCATACAAACATTTGCCACTATTGATAATTTATTCACCTAAATTTTCATCCTTCATATGATAATTCATAGTTCTTCAACTTCACTTTTTATATCGCTCAATACTAAAAGTTACAGAAAAATACACGCATATTTTTTAGTTAGTGAATTTCTTGACGAAAGCGTTTATCATTGCGGAGCTCCATAGTCCCATTTTGTATTATCGAACGATAACACTTTATCTGAAAAGTGTTGGCACTGTTTGCAGAGATTTACGATATGCGTTCTAAACGTTTATAGTGAAACAAACCTGAGGAAACGTTTGAAGCATAACCACGATATATAACTCATACATAATGATGTTAATATGATCACACACTTCATTTTGGAAACTGATAAATAATCAAGCACAAATCAGTTTCAGTTTGGAAAGGACAGGATGCTTGACGGCCTGTGTTAGTCCTGACAATGGTGGTCTCTCAGTTTATCCAAAGTTCTTTTGAAAGAGTCGGCAGATGGAGCCTCAACCACGTATTGAGGTAATGAATTCCACTCGTTGATGTTTCGATGGCAAAGTCAATAGACAGTCGACAAGTAATTTGTCCTGGGCTTGTGAACGTTTTTGGAGTGTCCTCGTAAATTCTCTGTTTTGGAAGACAATAAGAATGAGGACATATCAGACGCCAATTTATCACCAAGCAATTTGAAAACTGTAATCAAATCGCCTCTAGTTCTTTGATACGACAACGGGAATAAGTTTAGCTTGGCCAGTCGAGCATCATACGAGAGCTTCGCTATTCCGGGAATCAGCTTAGTTACTGTTCTCTGAACCTTTTCCAAAAGCTCACTGCCTTTTTTAAGCAGGAGCTAGCCGCTTGCATCCAGTACTCACGTTAAGGGCGTACGAACACAGTATACAAAGCCAAAAACATTTTAGCGAATTCACTAAAATGAGTTTGACATGACGGAAACAGGTTGGTGTCGTATTAAAGGCAATTGAGAACTTTTCGATAAGTAGAATTTCATTCCTCCATAAACTACAGTGGTTAAATTCAAGTTTCTATAACTAGCGAATAACGATGTAGCCTTGCTATAAAATATTTTATTGCTCTTAGACTGAAAAATTAGCTCTGGAGTTATTATAAATGTTTGTGGGTTAATACCTGCCAACAAATAGGGGCAGATCGCTTAGCTGCAAATCCATCTTTAATAAACTTCAAAAAGTGATATAATTCATTTCAATTCCATGTAGGTGGGTTTGTAATACATCCATAATATCCTTAATATATAAATTCCTACTAGTATAAATTTGTAGTCCTGTGGTTCCAGTGAATTTCATTTGTCTCAGCGACTTCAAATAAATGAATTGCATTAAGCAGTTGGCTCGAAAGATTAAAAAGTTTTATATTTATGTTTAACTTAATTGATTAGTACATATACTGTGTGTGCCCATCTACCACCTACCTCGGAGCACGATGTTTTCTGGTCTAGAAGAAAGCCGAAAGAAGTCTAGTAGTGCTCAAATCAAGGTCTATGATCAATCTATGAATTCATTGACCGTTACGCTGAGAAAACTAGAAAAATGAAGACTAACAGGTTCGTGTCCGCGCTACTATTGTTACAAACGGTTAAAGGCTTTGGGTGATTTGGCTTAGAATTGTCTACAGTAGGAGGGATGTATTCACTCTTTGTCTTTCAGCAGATTCTAAGTTTCTGAATAACATTAAATACCTTGTAGAACTTTTACTACATTAATCCATATTTTCTCCGAAAATCGTGTCATTAATCTCCAACCAATTTAATAACATGAATAGTGTTACTGCTGTCAGTGTGGTTGACAACTTCCTGATAACTAAATGAAAAGCCACGTCTTTTTGTAGCTTAAGGAAGATAATAGGTACTTAGATTGCGACATATATATATTTCTTTCAATTCATGAAAAATAACAACTCACTTATATATCACTGAATTATTCCGTCCTTGTTACTACTATTGAACTTGTTGAGTTTTGATCATTTGTTCTATCGAACAGCAATTTTTGTAGTAAAATGGGTTATCTCCTAGTAGCGACAGTTTCTACCTCAATTTACCCACTTTAACTCTAAAATATACGTCAGGAAATAATTTGGTATCTAATTAAATAAAGGTTTATCCTCTACATGCATGCTTTTATTTGTGTTCAACCGTAAAAGTAAAAAGAGAAGATATGTGACTGTCTGTACGTCGTTATCTTACGTGAATTACTTCAATATAAAACATCATCTAAGAAATCCACAATTGAATTTGATTCCAAGTAAAATCAGTCATCATGATCTTGAGAGGTAACGCTTTCCTTTTAGACTCAAATATTTACGCTTGATGATTATTTAAGTCACCTGAAATCAGAATACCATGATGATGACATCTCTAAACGGGGCAAACGTGTTTGATATTGATCAGAATATTAACGTATTTCCAAATGATTCATTTATCTTTAATGAGTGAACATAATTATCAAAATACGTTCATCCATCTTTGTTTTATTCATAGTACGGCTATAATAATAATGGATAAAACTCGAGTGGGAACATCCTTTTCAAAATATGAGCAACAGGACGAAAGTTTAACATCAACGGCTCTTACCTCCAGAATACTAGATAACTTAAACGTACTTAAATGCAGACTGGACCCCGATTTAGTTAACAATAGTAGATTATATCATGAAGAAAAAAGTGGTTTTGGTTTTAACGAATCGAAACCTTTTGTACTCAAGTTTGTTGAGCAGAAAAATAAATTATTCAGGTAAAGTTTAGCTATCATTCTATGAAATATATATGGCTCCTTTTAACGGGCATTACTTGTGATCATTGGTTGGTATATGACATTGGATAATATTCATTGGCCTCGTGATTTCCGGTGAATATCGGCTTTCACTAGGAAGCGCCACAATTTTTTCTAAAAAGTGATCCTTCAACTTTCAGGACAGAGTTTAAACACTTTAAATTGTTTTTCTGACTATCCTTCTTTTAACAAGATTGTTTTCTACGGGTGAGGTTGCTGGTCCTATCTCTAGACCTTCTCTTTTTCCCGGACTTAAGTCCAGCAGTAGCCTCAGAAGGGCTAGTGGTTGAGCTAAAGGGTTTCAGTGGTTAAACACTATTCAATCTAAGTCTAAATTCCAGTCATAAAATATTGTATGACTAGTTTGTTAACAGTAATTGGTTAGATATTTTAAGCCTTATCCACATGAAATGGCAAACTTAATTTTGGTTGGAAAAGCGATTGTTTGAATGCTCCACAGAGTTCAGTGTGTAGAAACGTTTATTTCCTAATTATAAGCATTTCCAGTGAAATAACTTATTGCTGACTAGTAACAAATATTATGATTCCTAGTATACAGTATGAAACAGAATGTACTGATCAAATAACGCTGGTATTAATAGCTAGATTGACCTGAGATGTAATACGTGCATTATCAAGAGGATGAGATCAATCATCAGCTAACCTAGGATTCCTGCTAGTTGGCACGTATCTGTATGGTCTATCTGTTATTATGGGATAACAAATGAAATATATGTCAACTTCGCGAAATACCGGTCACATTTGTATTGAATCTTCTTAACGGATTGATTCCAGTTGAGTTACCATTAAAGACCAGGAAGCAATAAAAGTCTATTTTCTGTTCGTATGAAACGGCGTTTACGACAATGGAAACTAGATAATGTTCATCAGCAAGTGGTTGTGGTCCGCGTGACTATCGTAACCATTGATTGGAGATTCTGAGTGACATGACTCAAAATCAATCACAATAGCGTCGGTGTATACACTCCTCTCTCTTTCCTTATTCCGTGAGATTTAAGTGACTTTATACCTTTTTTTCTGCATCATATCTTTATACAGAATCTTTTTTTATACATTTCTACCACTGAAGTAACGACTTCTATGAATCCAGTGTTCATCTCGTTGTGCTAATGAGTATGATGTAACAACTTGAACCGATATATGTATGTGCCTGATTCTATGTTGTAGCTAACTGCTTAGCTTTTAAACTACTTAGCTTTAACCGAATGATTCATATTTCCGAGTTCTATCACCTTCTGGCTACAAACACAGCTTTATTATTATTATTATTATTATTATTATTATTATTATTATTATCCTTTATCTTAATAGAAACCAAGCAAACCATGAAAACATCAATGCTACTCCTATCAATACAATATCCCAAGGTAAAAAATCTTCTATAAATAAAAGAAAATGCTTACCAAAATTAAATCGTACTGAACATTTACTAGCAATAAGTCCTAAAACTGGAACAGTCAACAAAATCCCGATTGATTATCAAGTTAACCAACGTAGGTTACAATCTCCTTTCTTGAATTTCTATAGATTATATAATATAGCAATAGTAATGATGGATAGTGGCTAGCAGTGGAATCCAGGACGCACAGTTCGTCTTATTTCGGACTCGTCAGCCGGATGTACCTGCATCTCAGAGTTGATGTTCACTCTGGGACTCGAACCCAGTACCATTCGCTTCAAACGCCATCACGTTATCCACTCAGCTACTGAATCCTGATAGCCACTTGCTTGTGCAATGGAGTGAATTTAAATTCACTTGGTATTGTTTGACTTGTATCTTCCCGTCTAGCTGACGAGTCCCAAATCGGACGAAACGCGCGTCCTGGATCCCACTGCTAGCCACTATCCATCATTGCTTAAAAAAGCTTGTGAATTAAGGCAATATCTAGGCATACGCACAATTTGCACATATGCCAATAAGAGACTGATCAATCGCAGTCTTAAACATCAATGGGAAGATACAAATCAAACAGTATCAAGTGAGTATAGCAATAGTGTCTTAAAGTAACTAGTATGTATATTTTAAAATAGAAAGGTCAGTTTGAATATGGAAGCCGGTTTGAGATTAAAAAATAGTTAGTTTTCTACAGGATGGAGTCACTAACCCCATGCCCAACCGTCCTCTTATATCCGGGCTTGAGATCGGCAGTAAGTCTAGAAGGGCTCTAAGTGAAGTTTATTAGAACTATTGATTCTAAAATATGCTTCAAGATATAATAAAAAATACTCATTTTCTAGTTTTAATCACGTTCGAAGTATCTTTGGTGTATTCATAACCTATTGTTTTCATCAAGTTATGAATTAGAGCGGATCCAGTTACTCAATTACAACGTAGGACCAGACACATATATGCATCGGTCCAAGTTTCCATAACTCATAAGCACAGCAAGATGAACACGGGATTCATAGAAGCAATTAGCTCAATGGTGTTAATATAAAGGAAAGATTCTATGTGTAGATATAGTACAAAAAGGACGAAAGACAGATATGAAATAATCCGTGTGGATAGTTGTAGATGACATTAGATAATGGTGAAAACATATCCTTAATTCATAGAACTTGAGAAATCCTTATTATCGATACTCAGTGTATTGTTTGGTAGGATTTTCTTAAAGACTTCCAAATATTATCAGAAGAGGGTTTTGTGGATTCATGAGTCAGTTAAGGCTAGACCACTCTAAAAAACCTGAAAGCACTGGTTAGCCGTATCGTCCCAATATGAGATTCCTCAGAAGTGAGCACTTCATTTTATTCAAACACATAAACATTGGTACAAGGATGCACCAGATAGATATGCACCATATAAATAATTCGGTTTGTGTGTTGGCTGTGATACTGCCCGGATGCCCGAACCGAAGCAAGTGGAGCAACATCAGGAGATGCAGTCCCATAGTAGACGGTGACCAACGACTGGGTCATACGTTATTTGTTCATTCAGGATACTGGAGCCTATGTGCACCATTTGTATGGAATCAGGGTTTCCCAACTCTTCTAGGTAAATTCCCCGTATCCACGATTCCGTATACGAAATTCGAACCCAAGCTATTCCATACTCTTAGAAAAGAAATCGATTAGTGACAAATATCATTGATACATTTAATCAATCTTTACAAATACTTACCTTCAGTATTACACTTTAATTTTTCTATTTCATTAATTAGAGAATCCCAATAAAACAACAATTGATCCTTCTAATGAATGTTATATTGATCACCAGTGAGTTCTAACTAGTTTTGATTGAATATTCTTTGATAAATCTTAAAGACTAAAGCTTTTGCATCAATAAGACTCATGATTTGAATAAATATAGTTCAGATAGGATAAGAGAAATATGAATACAATTATAGTTTGATATCATGAATAGGTCAATGTTAGACCATCATTGAAAAGCTGGAAACATTGGACAGACGTTTTGTTCTAGTGTAAGGGACTCCTCAGCAGTACTTATCCATGATCATCCACATAAGACTCAAACCTTAGACCTTCGGTCTTCCGTGCGAACACAGCCTTTAGACCACTGAGCCGGCATCCAACGGCATTCATGAACGAGACCGAAGGTCGTGGGTCCGAGTCTTACGTGAAGAATCTTGTATATAATATGCTGAGGAGTCATATACTAGAACGAAACGGCGGTCCGGTGCTTATAGGTTTTTCATGATGGTCTAAGATTGATCCAATCATGATATCAAGATATAATCCCGATATTCGTAGGTTACTAGTATTTGATCATAGGTGTCTTCGAAATATTGCTCGTATATCGTGGGACCATCGAGTAAGTAATGCAGTTGTTAGGAAACGGGTACTAGGTAAGGATGGCAAATCCATTGATGAAGTAGTGAAACTTCATCAGTTGAGATGGCTTGGACACGTGTTACGTATGCCCAACGACCGACGTGCTATTTTTTCTGGTGTAGGAGTAGGCTGGAAGAAAACTAGGGACGGTAGGACCAAAACATGGCACAAATCCATGAAGTCACTGACAAGTAGACTGAGCCATGTTGGTAGGTGTAGACTACCTGGTTAGGATCCACGAGACGATAGCAACCGATGGTTAGAGACCCTGAATGACATAGCTCAAAATCGTTTGCAATGGCGCAGGTGCATACACTCTTTGTGTTCTCCCAAATTTTGATCTCCTTATTCCTCCTTGTCTCTTTTTTTTCTCCTCTCAAATTTGTTTCACTGTATTATACTCTTTAGGTAATATCTCCAAACACTAATCTTCCCGATTACTGCTTATACTCTTACTACCTCTACCACTACGAGATTTGAATCGACCACTGCATCTCTATGCTAATGTGGTGTGACAACTCAAACTGATGTACGTACGTACGAAGTTCTACGTTGTTACTGACTGACTGACTGATCAAGATATAATTTTCTTTGCTATCTTTATTCATTTAATAATAATATTGATCTCTCGGACACAATGCTAATCTGCTTAGCACTCACCACACCATATTATTTCCTTTTAATTTCATATAATTTAATGAAAAACACAAAGTCTTCCACTAGATATTCCATTGAATTTGTAATTTTACTATTATTTCTCTCATCCTATCTGGCTTATATGATGGACGGTCGTGCAATACCATGAATCGGTTGAAGTTAGACATTCACATCGTGTTGGCGCGCAAGATCGAAGATCCTCAGTTCGAGTCCCGTGTGTGGGGCTGGGGATGCGTAATGCTGAGGAGTCCCACAGTAGGACGAAACTACCATCTAGTGCTTCCAAGTTTTCCATGGAGGTCTAGCTTCAATTGACTCATGACTATTAGTCTTCTGATATACTATTTAGTTTTCTTTTCATCTCTACTATTGGTTATCTTTTCTATACAATACCAGAATACATCTTCAGTTCAATACTAATGATATTCATGACCAATTGAAAATTATATCTTACTGTAAAAGTAAGTTTCACATTTTTTTGTTATAAAATCAACATGATCAAAAGATCAATATTTGATCGAAGAATATTCATATTGACAAATTCTCTTGAGGTTCGATGAGATTATAATTTATGGATGACCTTTGAGCGATGCTAAAGTGACTTACAGAATGTCGACCTAGTTACTAAGGCTAAATGAGGATTATACAACAGTTTGAAGAATAACGATTATGATTTATGGTCGACGGTTGAGGTTAGGAATTAGATTTAGGGTTTTTCATAACGAACTGATATCAGTTATAATAGAAAAAACGTTATTTAGCCAAATGGATGAATGAATTTCGCGCCAAAATACAGGACCTGCTATCCCAAATCTGATTGGCTCGTCCATCAATGATAGTCTCACCATGTTAACTTGAATCAGCTTATATGTTAAGTGAAAGTATTAAGATCCATGATGAGAATGAATATAGGTCAAATAGGGTGAGAGGAACAATGGTAGAATGAATGCAAAGTAAAGGAATCATGTATAGGGGAGATTGATAATGGTGTTTAACCAATAATAATAATAATGGTAATAATAATAATAATAATACAAAGATATGTGGATGAAGATAAGAAAGACAATTATAGTTCACTGCGAAAGATCGTAAGTACAATAGTCGAATGAGGTCACTCAATAGATAAGATTACTATTGAATAATTGACCTTGAGATTGAACAGTGGAAGAGGAGTAGTTGAAGATATTTCGTCCGTACACTTAGCTCGGATTTCTTCATCAGGATAGTTACTGCTTTAGCTGTTTAAAGGACATGACCATAGATGCACATTGTTGAAGAGTCCTATACTAGGACGAAACAGGCGTCCAGTACTTTCAGGTTTTCCAAGGTGGTCTAGCTTTAGTCGACTCATGAATTCAACTGTACTATACTCTCCACAACATCGCTTTCTGATAGTAATTAATTCAATCTAATTATTTATTCACCATTAACATGAACGTATTCGTCTTCATGGAACATTAATATTAATTGTGAATGTGTAAACTACATTCTTTTGTAGGTAAGCAAATGAAATTTGAAGCAAGTTATCCAAACACAAATGTAAGTTCAATGTAAAACAAAAAAGAATTGGTATTAAGGTATTCACATCAAAATCCATTACCGACCGGTTTTGGAGATGGTTGGAAGAAAGTTATGGGTGGCCAAACCAAAATATGCCATCAGTCCATAAAGTCACTAACTTCTAGTCTGAGCCATTTTAGTAGATGCATATTACTTGGTTAAGGTCCATGTAACTGTCGTAACCAATGATTGAAGACTCTGGGTGACATGGCTCAGAATCGATCTCAATCGCGTAGGTGTGTATACACTCTCTGTCTTCCCTTAAACTAAGAGATTAAAATTGCTTTATATTTTTCTTTCTACGAAAGAATTCTTTCTTCCTGTATCATATCCTTATATGCAACCTTTCTTTTATATATTGCCACCATTTAAGTAACTACTTCTGTGAATCCGGTGTACATCTTGTTGTGCTAATGAGTGAGGCATGGTAACTTGGACATGCCTAATCCTACATTATAGCTGAATGAATGAAACAAACTTTTATTGAGAATCATGAAAATCTAACAATTCAGAATCATTAAGCTTAACAGACGGAACAAGCTTCAACTGTGTCGATCTACAAATTATCAATCAATTAAACCAATATCACAAATCTGATATAAAATTCAGTGTTTTGTCAATATTAAAATTTCCACAAAACACCTGATAATAATTATCTGCTCACTAGTAACTGACTTCAAAAGATACTCCTGGAGTTCTAGTGAGAAGTAGTGACAAGTGGAGTTCACCCAGGTCTGTTGTGAGATATCAACTCACTGAAGACAATGGTGTACGGTGGCGCAACTTCGTGGATTAGTTGAAGTTAGACATTAACACCATTGGACGCCAACCGGCTCAGTGGTCTAGTTGGTTAAGTGCCTGGCGCGAGACTGATAGATCCTGGGTTCGAATCTTGCAAGGGGCGGGATCGTGGATGCGAACTGTTGAATAGTCTCATACTAGGACGAAACGACCGCCCAGTGTTTCCAGGTTTCCTATGGTGGTCTAGCTTCAATTAACACATGATTTCAACCAGTGAAATAATAAAATGACATATTTAATCGTGTTGTTAAGGTAGATATAACAAAGAACTTAACCAATTTAATTCAATTGGATCCAAAAGCAGAGATTGTTGTTAGTGAATATCAAGATGGAGATTTTACAACGACTGGAATTCAAGGACAGAATAAATTTGATTATAACTTGATTAAAAAGAAAACAATAGTAAGTTGACAAATAGAATCAATTTCTTAATAAAATTTGATACTACTTATCTATGTTTTAAGTAGTTAATCTAAAATAGTAAAAATAGTCATGTAAATGAAACAAACATTGATACAAGGAGGCATCAGATAGATATGCACCATATAAACAGTTCAATTTGTGTGAGAGCTGGGATACTACTCGGGTGCTCAAACAGAAGTAGGTGGTTTTCTTTTAGGAGCACCAGTTCTCTCAAGATTACAGGTACACCTTGCTGACTAGTGTCCAGGGTCCGGTGTTTCCTGTTGACTACCTCCAACCAACGTCTTATATCCCACCTTATGTTCTCGTATACTACAACAAGTCTAAGGATAAGATTCCGTAAGATAAATTTTAGGTCTTAAAAAGAAACAATTCACTAAACAAACATCCGGCTGACGAATCCAGAAAAGGACGAAACGCGTTTTGTCATAGATTCCACTGCTAACCACTATCTATCTTAGCTTATTTTAAGATGACGTAATGAGAAAAAAAAGAGAAACAGTTATCAACCATACTTATTGAATATATACATTAACATTCATAATACTGTAGCTTAGTTGTATTAGATTGTAAACATAAAGAATTTTAGAAAATGGATCATTCATTGAATTCATCCTACTTATGAATGGGTAGTTCTGCTTACACTCTTACTACCTCTACCACTACGGAATTTGATTCGAAAACTGCATTTCTGTGCTAATACGGTGTGGCAACTCGAACTGATGTACGTACGTACGAAGTTCCACGTTGTTACTGACTGACTGACTGACTGATATATGTTAGTTTAATAAAGTATACACTCTTGATTTTATTCAAAAGACTCACATAGGTTATTGTTTCAGCTGAATAACTGATTGACCTCTGTTATATCTCAATGAGAATAATGAATGGTAACTATTGAGATCTATTTATAAACCAATACAATACATATATTGTATAAGTGTTATGTAACTTCACTCATAGACTATTATTATACGACTTACCATTGTTGAGTTATGCCCAGCCTGTTCATTACAGTCTTCCACATTCACACCGACTTTTGGTTTGATCTTGTACAAATGTTATTTTCCATTTTATAATACGATGTGGTCTGTTTGGTTTGTATATAAACCGAGTATGCTTGAAATACATCATTCATATCATGGAGGCTGAGATTGTTGTTCTAGACTCAACAGATAGACAGAGCTAATCAGAAAGAAGAATCGATAAAGACTGTAGACTGCTCGTATATATTTGATGCATCATTGATCCGGTCGATAAATCACTATAATCCAATTAGCGGTATCATCACGTGAAATATATTGATAGAGGTTACAATGGTCACAAGTTATAAGAACTTCATAATTGATATAATAAAATAATCATAATGAGTTCAATGGTTAAGATCATGAGTCAGTTGAAGCTAGATCACCATGGAAAACCTGGAAGCACTGGATGGCCGTTTCGTCCTATTGTGGGACTCCTCAGCAGTGCGTATCCACGACCTCGCCCCCTGCGAGACTCGAACCCAGGACCTATTGGTTTCGCGCGCGAGCACTCAATCACTAGACCACCATTGAATTGGCTACAGTATCCACAAAACCCATCTGATATTAATCCACATATGCTCACTAGTGACTGGCTTCAAGATGTATATCCTGGAGTTCTAGTGAGAAGTAGTGACCAGTGGAGTTCAACCAGGTCTGTTGTGAGATAGTAACTCACTGAAGACAATGGTGGATGTGTCACTCAACTTCGTGGATTATTTGGAGTTAGACATTAACACCGTTGGATGCCAACCGGATCAGTGGTCTAGTGGTTACGTGCTCACGCGCGAAACAAGTAGGTCCTGGGTTCGAGTCTCGCAGGGAGCGAAGTCATGGACGCACACTGCTGAGGAGTCCCACAACAGGACGAAACGGCCGTCCAGTGCTTCCAGGTTTTCCATGGTGATCCAGCTTCAACTGACGCATGATTTTTAACCTTTGAAATTACTATTATATCCACAAAACCCATTTGATATTATTCATAATGAATTAATGATTTTCGTTTCATTGTAAATAGGAAAAGAATACTATGAAAAGAAAGCATCTAAAGTCTATTACAGGTTAGTAGTATTAATAAATAATATAATTCAAATGAATAACCATTGAAGCCTAAGATAAATACCACCAAGCTAACGTATACACCGCTGATCTTGAGATGTTGGAGAAGATATGTAGATCAAGTGGATGATTTCAATGGAGCTTTATTCTCTGAGTTGGTTGGTTTGATCGTGGAACTTTCATTGTTTTTTTTTGAACGACATCAGCAATAAACAAGCACATTGAAATCGATCCAATTTATCAACCAAGCAGGAAAATTATGTACAAATATAGGAATATAAATCAAAGTAATGGAAGATATAACCAAAACAAAGAAGTAAACAATAACAGGTTTGAAGTCAGTAAGAATTATTCAACGTTAAGGTGTACTAAACAAGGTGTGAATCACATGTGGAGAAATTCGAACACTTCACTTCTATCTGAAGTTTGTACTGATGATGTCATTCAGAAGAACGATGAAAGCTCTATGATCAAACCATTCAGCTCAGAGGACAAAACTCCATCAAAAACACCACCGATCGCTACTATCGAGTGAATGATTTGGTAAAGTCATTGGATTGATGTGGTTCTACTGGCTGTAATACTGCCTAGGTGTTCAGACTGAAGCAGTTGGTTTTGTTAGGGGGCCACACACTCAGCCTTCGACATAAAGGTCTGATCCAGAAGGCAGTGGAGCAACTTTAAAACATGAAGTCCCATGGTAATCACTGACCAACAGTTGATTCATACTCCATTCCTTCCCTCAGGATACTGGAGCACATGTGTATTATTGGGTTGGGATCAGAGTTTCCCACCTCCTCTATGTGTTCACCAGCCCGGGTAAAGCGTCCTCTCAACTTCGTAAGCAACACACCCACCGCGAGAAAGCAGTGAGTAGGACTTCCCTGTCAGTGGTTGTATGCACCTGGCCATGTAAGAGCATTTGGAGAGAGAGAGCTAACTCTCCTCACCCTCAGCTGTACCATCACACTATCCTGATAGTCACTAGCTTGTGTAATAACAAGTGAATTGACTATTTTCCCATAGCAGTAATGTTGTAATTTAAATAATTCTAAAATATTTTATTGATATTTTTATTCATGTAGAAAAGGTACCAATTTTATGTTCTAGTACAACAAAGAAATGTTGTTCATATGGTATACGTGAACCAATTGAACCTTGGTTCCCGTTAGATTCATTATTAGAAGGAAATAGTCGGATTAACCAGAAAACAAATTCAAAGTAAGTTATTTGTACATGGTATATTTCACAAGCTATATGGCTATTTACAACTGAAGGTCTCATATGAGACTGGAGGTTCACCATTGATATTGTAGATTGTTTGGCATTGCTTTGGCAAGTTTTACTGACTGTTCATGCACAAAATTGGTTTGCTGGTTAACCGATTTCACTCATACTGGTGACTGCTCTTCACTGTTCTCAAGGGCCATTATGATTGAAACATTGTAAGGCATGTCGCCATTGCTAACATTAATGAGTTTGACTATCGTGTAAGCGGAATAGGTCAACTTTGCCTGTTCGTATTGTGCATAATTGATTCATGCGATCATTGATCGGAATAATTATTATATATGTAATATGAATGTGTATATGAGTGGTGCGAATGGTGCACCAGGGTGCTTTGTACTTATGTGGTTGTGCCACAGGATTGAGCTGTACTATTCAGATTGTAGCGTTAAAGCCTATATGGTGTTTGGTTCTCCTTTGAAGCGGGACTGAGCTATACTGTTTGGGTTGTCACGTGAAAGTCTGGATGATGTCTGGTTCTCTTGAAAACCAACGTAAAATCACCCCGGTCCACAAGGGTATATTATATAACTAAATATATTTCACATTGCTTAGCTTCCATCAATGTTTTCAATGGTCAGTGATTTAGTAAACCATTTGTGTTATAGTGATTAAAGTCTTTCTATTCGAATGCTTATTCATTGTGTAAATAATCTGTCAACACAATCTATATTGTTAACTATTTATGAGAGGTTTTGATGTTTTCTTATCTGGATGGCTTCATTATAATATGATGACTGATAGTTTAGACTCGTCAATATACATTGACTTCTTTGACTGTGAGAAAGCATTTGAAAGTGTGGATAAGAGGACTTTATGTAAAACTTATGTGACAATATGGTGTACCTGAGAAGATTGTCAATATCATCTGAAATTCATATGACAGACAACACTGCAATGTCGTGTGGGGAGGACAGTTGAAAGATGCATTCCAAGTAAGGATTATTTTCAGACAAAGCTGCTTACTCCTTACATTTCATTTTCTTCTGGTGTTGGTCGACTGGATTATGAAGATTTCCACATCTGATGGGAAGAACAGAATACAACGGATATTTTGAATGCAACAGGGCGGTTTGGACTTCACAGATGACCTGCTCCTTCTATTCCATGCACAACAACAAATACAGATGAAGACAAATAGTGTAGCAGCAGCCTTTGCATCAGTGGACTTCAACATACTCAGAGGAAAAAGAAAGCTTCTCAAATTTTTATTGAGAACACCAACTCCGTAACAACTGACGAAGAAGCTCTAGAAGAGGTGGAATCCTTCACGTACCTGGGAAACATCATCCATTAACGAGGAGAATCTGATGTAGATGTAAAGGTGAGGATTATCAAAGCAAGAACAGCATTCCTACAATTGAAGAACATGTGGAACTCAAACTAACTGTCAACCAATATCAAAGTCAGAATCTTCAATACGAAAGTCAAGACAGTCCTACTGTATGGAGCTGAATCTTGGAAAACTACTACAACCATCATCAAAAATGTACAATTATTTATAAATAGTTGTCTACTCAAGATACTCAATGTCCAATGATTGGATACCATCTGCAACAGCCTACTGTGGTTGAGAACAAACAAGTTTCCGACTGAAAGAGAATTTATCAAAAGATGTTGGAAGTGGATAGGACTTACATTACGGAAATCACCAAACTGAATCACGAGGCAAGCACTAACTTGGAATGTTGAAGGAAAACGAAAAAGACGAAGGCCAAAGAACACACTGCATCGGGAAATGAAAGTAGATATGAAAAGGTTGAATAGCAACTGGAAAGGATTGCACATAACAAGGTTGGATGGAGAGTGCTAGTGATCGACCAATGCTTCTCCACAAGGAGTAACTTGAGTAAGTAAGTTCTTGATTAACTTCTTTAGCCTCTGTTAATCTACAATTTGATTGTGTTAGCGTCATAGGAAATCTCTGATATTCTTAGAACATAAGTATCCATGAACGTGAACATCTTTTAAGTCAAATTTATATCCATATTCAATGCAACTTCAATGTAGTTTTATTCTTTATCATTTTTATTACAGTTTACGCTTGAATCGATCTAAAAGTTGTGATATTAACAATTTCAAAGTAAGTTATTGATTTTATTATGTCCTTGATTTGTTTACCTAATGCCAGCTCAGTGGTCTAGTTGGTTAAGCGCATGGCGCGAGACTGATAGGTCCTGGGTTCGAATCCTGCGAGGGATGGGATCGTGGATGCACACTGCTGAGGAGCCCCATACTAGGACGAAACTGCCGTCCAGTGCTTCCAGGTTTTCCATGGTGGTTTAGCTTCAATTGACTCATGATTTCAACCAGTTAAATACATGAAAGAACTTGTCTTGTTATAAGTTAAGGTCCTGATACAAAAGGCTAACTGCTTTAAACTTGGGGTATGAAATACTTGAGTTCAAATTGAAACTAATGGCGTTAGGCAAATTGACAACAACTATCCTATCACCTGATTGGTCAACAAGTAAGAGAGAAAAGGAAGAGAAGGCAAGTCAATTGGAGCGCTACTTGATGAATTCCCAATTCATGAATCACGATTCAGATGACTATTAATTGTTTGGACCTACCTATTTACGTTCAGGACTGAAGTTGATCAATCTCTTATTGGCATATGTGCATCCTGTGAGGATTTCCTTAAGTCACAAGAATGATAAGCTAAGTTTGGTAGTGTCTAGCAGTGGAATCCAAGCTGTGCGTCTCTTCCTGCTTCAGATTCCTCAAATGGATGTTCCTGCATTCCAGATTTGAGACATTCCACACAGGATGCACATATGCCAATAAGAGATTGATCAGTTTCAGTATTAAATGTCAATGTGAAGATTCAAACAACCAATACAAAAATAAACTAAACTTCACCAAACTGCACAAGCTGGCTATCTGGATCCAATAGCTTAGTGAATAACGTGATGCTGTTTGAAACAAACATTCTGAATCCCAGAGTGAACACCAACTCTGAGATATAGGTCATTCAGCTGACGTGTCACAAATGAGACGAAACTTTCTTACTAGACTTCACTGCTACCCACCATCCATTTTATAGTTTGAATCAGTCGTTAGAATACGATCATGTCAAACAAGCGACCTAGATTATGTAATCCTTTTTACCAGTTTTCTATAATTAAACTTCAAAAAGATTTCAAATTCCTTAATTTAGTCACTATGCTGTAAACTCGATAAACAGTGGTCTATTGTTACTGGTAAACATTCAACATTACAATGGTTTCTAAATGTTATGTAACTGAAGAGAAGTAAAATATTATCAAATTTTCAACATACTATAAAGCATGTTTTCTGATTACATCAGTTTCACCAAGTATTAACTATACATTACCATGTTTCTAGCCTAGAGGATACACGAATCTCACAACGCGTAGATCACCTATAGTTAAGTATTGAATATAAAACTCATTCAGTTGCACATACTCATATTAGCAGTTGCAGAGGCTTGGGATTGATATCAAACATGAACAAAGCGAATATCCATGAGTGGCTTGGATTGCCTCCATCTATTCATTCACTGTCAATCTGTTTACTTTGTTAAGGCAGCGTTCTCAGATTGGAGACTGAAAAAGGATCAAATTTCAGATAGCCTTTTGTCTATTATGTCAAAAAACATAACAATCACTCACATATATCTTAAGCTGACTGAACCTGCTGATCATGGTAAAGCCATCAGTATTCATATTTTTACTGACAACATAAACCGAAACCTATCTCAGATTTGAAAGTGGTAGTCGACGATGAATTACACCAGTAGGAGGTACGATTAATAGCAATAGTTTATTGATTCAGTTTAGTATGGGACTTCAGTAAATTACGTCCCACCAATGACTAAAGGCATGATCTATTCACAAAACCCATTTATTTAACATTCATCAAGAAATTTTATCATCAATATATCACTCATTAACGTGATTTCTAGAAATAAGTATCGATTCAACACAAAATAACATTCATGGATGTCTTCTCTCGATTCAACTCTTTGCACAATACAACGGTTATCTTTAGAACTTAATGTATTATTTCGACCATAAAACTATTTAATAGTTGAATTCATGAGCTAGACAATCATTGAAAATCTAGAAGCACTGAATGGCCGTTTCGTTCTAGTATGGGACTCTTTAACTGTGCGCAACCATGTCCCCGCCTACGCGATTCGAACCCAGGATCATAGATCTCGCGCGTGAATGCTTAACCTGTAGACCACTGAGACGGCATCCCACGGTGTTAATGTCTAACTTCAAATAATCGACGAAATTGAGCGACACATCCAGCATTGTCTTCAGTGAGTTACTATCTCACAACAGACTCAGTTGAATTCCACAAGTCACTTCCCACTAGAATTCCAGGAAATACCTCTTGAAGCTAATCACTAATGAGTATATGTTGATGAGTATCAGAAGGGGTTTTTGTGGATATTATAGTAATTTTAATAGTTGGGATCATGAATCAATTAAAGCTAGACAACCATGGAAAACGTAGAAACACTGGACGGTCGTTTCATCCTAGTATGGGACTCTTTAGCTGTGCGTATCTATGATCACGCTCTCGAGATCCGAACCTTGGACTTATATACATATATATATATATATATATATATATATATATATATATATTGCAAGTCCTACGTTATTTATAAATGATTGACTGCATTTCGAAAGTATGTATGTACAGTTTGGATTGTATTTACTTAGGCCGCTGATCAGCATTCTTCAACACACTCTTTCCTGGGCCTTTCATTCTAGTTCTATCCAGTTGTTGTTCATTCTTCTCATATCTGTCTCCATTTTATCGTAATGTATTCTTTGGTCTTCTTTTCCTCCTTTGGCCTTGAAAGTTTCAGATGAAGGCTTGCGTTTTGACGCAGTTCAGTGCTTTCTTCAATGTGTGTCCTATCCAATTCCAGCACTTCTTCCTGATTTCTTCCCCCGTTGGAATCTGGTTTATTTTCTACCACAGTATGTTGTTACTGATAGTGTCTGGTCAATGGATCCTAAGTATTTTGTGTAGATGACTGTAAATAAACACCTGTATCTTCTGGATGATGGCTTTCGTGGCTCTCCAAGTATCCATCCCATAAAGTAGAACTGTTTTGACATTTGTATTGAAAATTCTGACTTTGGTGTTTGTTGGCAATTGTTTCGAGTACCAGATGTTCTTCAGTTGTAGATATACTGCTCCTGCTTTGCCGATCTGCGCCTTCACGTCTGCATCAGATCCACTGTGTTCATTAATGATGCTCCCCGGATATTTAACATTTTTTACTCCCTCCAAAGCTTCTCCGTCAAGTGTGATTCGATTAGTGCATGCTGTGTTGTATCGGAGAATCCTGCTTTTCCCTTTGTGTATGTTGAGACCTACTACTGCTAAGTCTGCTGCTACACTAGTCATCTCCTCATGCATTTGTTGTTGTATGTGTAATAGAAGAACCAGATCATCGGCAAAGTCTAGATCGTCTAGCTGCATCCTAGCTATCCACTGTATCCTATGCTTACCCCAGTTGAATTGTATTTAGTTATTAATAATTGAGATCATCATAGCAGAGATTGAATGTTCAATGACATGACATGACATAACATTTAGAATAAGAATTCACTGAATACTATTCGATTTATTTTAATTTATTTTAGTTACCATGGCAACCTGAATTCAGCAACTTATATCATAGTTCACCGAATTTAATGAATCAACCAACTGGTGAATTGGTTATCAATCAAAATTTTTCAAGTATATTACATGAAGTAAGTTTATAATATTGGTTAATTGATCAATAAATGTTCTTCATTTATTGATTCCATTTTCTTTAAGTATCCTTTACATTTGTTTCTATTTGCTATTCATCCCTTTGATGTCTGCTTCCGATTTCTGACTCATTGTGTTCTATGGCCTTTCTCTTTTCTGTTTCCCTTCAGGATTTCAAGTTAGCGATTGTCTTGTGATACAGTTTGACGATTTCCGTAATGTATGTCTAGCTCGTTTCTACCGTATTTTTATAACTTCTTCAGTTGAAAGTTGGTTTATTCTCATCCATAGTAGGCTATCACTGATAGTATCCTGTTAACAGACATTAGGTATCTTACGTAGAAAACTATTTACAAGTACTTGTACGTTCTTGATGATGGTTTTAGTAGTTCTCCGAGTTTCAACTCCGTACGCTAGAACTGACTTTCATTACTGTATAAATAACATTAGTGGAATAGTGCAAGCGCTAATTATCACTAGCTTCCAGCTGAAGAAGAAATTAGGAAAAGACGATGGAAATGGATAAGACATACATTACGCAAATCATCAAACTACGTCACGAGGCAAGCCCTAACTTGGAATCCTGAAGGGAAGCGCAAAAGAGAAAGGCCAAAGAACACATTACGTCGGGAAATAGAAGCAGGTATGAAAAGGATGAATGACAAATGGAAGGAGCTTGAAAGGATTGCCCAGGACAGGGTTGGATGAAGAATGCTAGTGAGCGGCCTATACTTCTTCACGAGGAGTAACAGGCGTACGTAAGTAAGTAAATAGTATAATGAATGATTAATTAACTTCAGAATAATTCTTACTATAAATATTAATCGACTTCGCTACCAAGATCTCCAGTTTTGTTAGTCATAAACATTGATACATTCTAAGAACAAACTTTGTCGAACTGTAAAATAGATGCACTTGTTATTGTGCACTTGAATTTTCCCATTGATGTTTAAGACTGCAACTGATCAGTCTCTTATTGCTATGTATGCCTACTGTACGGATCGCCTCCATATTGCCTTAATTCACAAGTATTCTAAACAAAGATGTATTGTGACTAGCAATGAATTCTAGGACATGTGTTCCGTTTTGTTTGAGACTCGTCAGCTAGATGTACCTGCATCTCAGAGTTGATGTTCACTCCAGCAAGGACTCAAACCGGGTACTGTTCGCTTCAAACGCCATAGCATTATTCACTTGACTATTGAGTTCTGATAGCCACTTGGTTGTTCAATGGAGTGAAGTTTAAATTTACTTGTTGTCGGCTGAATGAATCTTTACAAGATTATAAACAGTGACTGACGCTTGCGTGAGTGAATTAAGACTTCCAACTCATGCCTATGATAATGACATGAACAGTTGTCAATGTTGGAGTGAAGTCAACAGTTGTGTTTTCAGTTTGCAGGAGATTAGCTCAACTGCTCATACTGATGTTTGAAATGAATGGCTAAGTTGCTAAATCTCCAATTGTGACGACAATGTTCTAAGATTTTTACTTAATGAACAAACAATGGATAGACACCCGGAAATCATCTATAATCAATGTAGGTAAAAAAGAGAAAACATCACTGTTGAATGACAATTACAGGTCGGTTGGTCGACCGAGTATGTGTTAATAGGTGTATTAATTTTATTGACCACATTACGTGATTGTTGAGTCAAGACAGTCAATTATGACGATATTCAGAAACTATTAGGAATAACTAGTTATAGTGTTGACTGAAGATTAACCAGTGAGAAACGGGAATTGCTGTCTTACGTGATTCTGAAATATCAGAAGTTTGTGACAATTGCTCTCCATAAGTATTTACTCACTTAGTGTTAATTTTAGTAGTGTGCTTCAGAATATTTATTTTGAACTCTAGAGTAAGTAACAACCACGCGACAGCTTGGTTATTATATCTGTGCAGTACAAGAATATGATTATACGTTGGTTTTATTATCTGAAGTTTGACAAATGACTTTTTAGTCAATTAATATGACAGCCAAATCAAGAAGACACAAATACACATGGCCTTATTGACTATGATGCCTTTAGTGGAAAGTGTTAGAAACAGTTCAAATAATAGTTAAATTCTAATTGCACAGAGATGATATAATGCGACGCATGTGCGGAATATAATGGATAGTTTAGAATCAACTATACGATTCGGACTCCGTGGATGACCTGATTCATCTATCGCATACACACGGACAAATGCAGATGAAGACAACCAGTATTGCAGCAGTTGATCTGAACATACACAGGAGAACAAATCAAGATCCTGAAATACAGAATGTGAAACACCAACCCAATGAGACTGGTTGGGTAAGCTCTGGAAGCAGTAGACAATTTCACATACTTGAACAACATCGTCGAACGTTTAGGATCTGATGCACAGGTGAATGAGTAGCAAGGACAGCATTCCTATAATATAAAGCCATTTTGAATTCTATGCAATCAACAAACAATTGACTTGAAGGTGTTCACTTGCATCTTCCCATTGGTATTCAGGATTGCAAATGATCAGTCTCTTGTTGTCAGGCAGTCCGAATAGGATGCACATATGCCAACAAGTAGGAAGGAACGTGCGTCAAACTGGATTGCACTGCAAGCTACTATCCATCTTCACCTGACCAAAAACCAATATCAATGTCACGATTTGCAATACGAACATCAAGAAGGTTAGTTCTGTTGTACGGATTTGATACATATGTCAAGAGGCATATTGCGTCGAGAATTGGAAGCAGACATAAAAAGAATCAAAAGCAATTTGAGACAAGTGGAAGGAATTGAATTTTTCACGGATGAATGGGGAATGCTGATGAGTAGCCCTTGCTCCTCCACTAGTAGTGACAGATGTAGGCAAGTCATTGATGTACAGACCAGGGTAACATACATGTTGATGAGGAATATTGGAGTTAAAGAGGTGAACGTGGACAGAATATTCAAAGTTGAGACATGGCATACGAAACCACATCAATGAACCTGACGAGTGTAATATGGAGTTTTCACAAGTGATTGCTGTGACAAGCCTAGTAACATGCATCAATATGTGGCAATAATAATCAGAGGTGGTTAAGTGCCTAATTATTGTTTACTTTAATATGGTTTACCTGAAGACAACACACATTCTCATAGCATGTCTTTTGAAGCGGTGACGATTGATTGTTTCTGGGTTCAACATTGGTGATCTCCTCTCCACGTTAAATGTAGAATATGAATTGGCTCTGTCATATCATTTTCAGATTCAAGGATGGTGCAGTTATGAGCACTACCACTACACCACTCTCCCATCAGAATCAATGTGACGTTGGCTAGATACCTAATTGAGAGAACGTGTAACGCCTCTTCGTTTACCAAATGATCAATAAGAACCCTGCGGTTATTTATTAGCTGAGAGATAAGTGAAAGGAAAACGGCAGTAACTGATCGTGAAATACGTGTTGTTGTTCCGCAATGTTTAGCTTAATTCTTAACACGCACAAAATGGAAATTTACGTTTATTTACGATTATTTAGGTTAAACAAAATGGAATTGCAATAATTAATAATGATTTAGAATAGAGACATTATAGCAAATCACATTAAGATGCGTGGTGATAGCTGTGGAGTTAAAACGTAAAGTATGGACGGAATAAGCAATTTGTACTTTAAAATTTTGAAAACATCAATACCGCAAAAATGTTGGCATTAGTATTAAATTCAGTTTTAATTACAAGGTCAGTTAACGTTTGTGTCGGTATGGTGTCCGTAGGCGTTGATTTCTTGAGTGCATTTGCATTAGTAGGCTAACTGAAAGAATTTTAACAAACAACCATAATAATTCACATTCAAGCCTCCTTTAGTAGATTATTTTGTTATGTGCGACATTATGCAAGAAAGTCATTTTATGACAGACTGTGTGAAATCCACACTTTTGTTATTATTAAACAGTTACGCTAATTAACCATAGAACACCTACATCTTATCACATATCATTATTAGAGCAAATAACCTCATTATTTCTATGCTTATTTCTCTTATATAATTATTCATTGAAAAAAGTAGAACCTGTTAGTTATTCAGCCATATTGAACTCAACATACTTTTAGCTTTCATTAAATACACCGTTGAAAGTCTCATATGAGATTGGAGGTTCTCGATTTGGTAAGGTTTGCTGACTGTGTGTACGCGAAATTGGTCTGCTAGTTAACCGATTTCATCCATAACAATGGGTTTTTTCAGTGTTCTCAAGGGACAATGTCATTGGGACATCATAAGTTATGTCAGTATTGCTAACATTATTGAGTTTGACTACCGTCTAAGCGGAATAGGTCAACTTTGTCCTTTTCACGTTGTGCACAATTGATTTGTGAGATCAATCATCGAATAACCATACATGTGACGTGAATGTGCATATGAATGGTGCGGAGGTTACACTAGGGTGCTTGGTACCTGTGTAGTTGCGCCACAGGATTGAGCTGTACTATTCAGATTGTAACGTTAAAGCCTATATTGTGTCTGGTTCTCATGTGGTTGAGCTGTACTGCTCAGGTTATAACATTTAAGCCCGGATGATGCACGGTTTTCCTGGAAACGGAGTTGAACTCTACCATTCTACTTATAACTTTTAAGCCTGCTGGCTCACCTGCGAAGCGAGATGGAGCCATACTGTTTGTGTCAATACGTGAAAGTTTCGATGCTTTCCAGTTCTGAAAACCAGTGTAAAATTGCCTCAGCCCATAAATGCATATTATATAACTGTGAATGCTTAGCAATTTTTAATATTCACAATAACTGGCAAACTGAATCCTCATAAAAGGAACACGTATATTCAATTTCTTCATGATCTGAGAAAAGATTGTTGCCACCTCTCATCTCATTGTCCATTACCAAACAATTATATCACATAATGTTCGAATAAAAAAGACGTAACTTTTCTTTCCTTCTTTTTTGTTGCAATTCCATATTTTGCAACAGTGAAACGATCAACAGGAACTAAATCACATAGAATGACGTTTAGTTGTTAACTTGTTCTCGG